TAACCTTGGGATGGGATAGTGTGCAATTTATGCAATTTTCAAAGAATAAAATCTTGAGTGATTCTATAAAAATTTCAAAAGAATAAAATAGTAATAAAAGTGTGCATAAGGGAAAGTGTTCCAATGTCTTTGACATAAACATGTCTTTGATATGAACACGTCTCGGATTGCGTCTTTTTTCGAGTTCTCGGTACCGTGCTTGAGAAACATGAATGCCAAGTGAGTGATAGACCGCATGATCAGGGTTCCCCAAACTTATCAAAAAAGTTCAAAAAAAAAAAAATTTGAGAGAGCCAAAAAAAAAATCTCAAAAGTTAGAAATTAAACCTCAAGCATAATAATACAAAGATTCAAACGCAAGGTTGAACACCTTGGGGGCTTATCTAGGGTCTTGAGCCTTTATTCCTTTCTTCTTCCACCTTTAGCCTAACCACGTTACAACCATAAAAAGACCTCTTTGAGGTATACACATACTTCTACGAGGTTCGGCTAGAGCTACGTTCGGCCTGATTCCTAACGGATACGTAGGCAACCTCGCATCGAGGTGCGGCCGTAATAAATGCATTCATATGTACGTTCATAATTGATTATATCAAGGGGATCTCCTATGCTCATCCTTATCCATTTAGAGCTAGACTTGGGGGCTTACCTAGCCTAAAGAGTCACCATTATTTGTCTCTTCTTAAAATAATATCTTTCCATGCATTTAGCCTTTGCGGCCTCACTTTAGTATCACTTTCACACACATCACAGATACATGACCAAATAGTAATTTCTTTAGGAACCTTTTGTCACGAAAATCTTAACATAACGTGGAAGCATACCTTGTCATCATTGCTTCACGAAATATGAAGTGCTTAGCTTTCGTGCCTAAGTTACCTAAATACTTTCATCCAAAATTAATAATGGAGATAGCCTAGGATGCTACAATCTTCACGCCCTAAGATACGATGTTGATCGATACATTTGTTAAAGCTCATTCAACACGCACTTTCAAAAACATCACTTCCTGTCTTTTTGCTTCTTTCTTTTTCGGGAGAAAGTCGGTACCCTCCACAAAAATGACGAAGATTTTTTGTTTTTCTACATTTTTTAGTCGAATGCACACATAAGTCATGTACATATCGAGTCTCATGAGTTAGTACTTTGCACACACAAGTCACAATCGAGTTGAGTCGACCTCAAGTCGGTCAATCGTATTAAGTCAAGTTTACACCTTAAGTCATGTCAAACCATGTGTGTCAAAACGCATTGAGTCGAGTCATGACAAGTCATTTGTGTTAAAAACACATTAAGTATTATGGAATGAGTCAAGCAACACTGAGCCTTAGGTCAACCCCTAATGAAAAGATGAGCAAAGTCCTATAGTCTAAAACGTTGGCTTATCGCAAAGGCACCGACATAATGGTTAATAAGCATCAAAAGCACCGACGTAATGGTTCACAAGCAGAAAAATGTGCCGACGTATTGGCACCGCAGAAATTTCAGCAAATATCACAGTATAAAAGTTCAAGAGAGCTTTAAGGATTGACAAGCGTTGGTCTTCGGTAATTTTCTTCGGAATATTATCGCAGCGACTGAGAATGAATTCCAGCGAAGTTATCTTCGACAGTGTTCCCTAGGATGTGGAAAGTTGTCAGAAAGCTGAGGATGACTTCAAGCAAAGTTATCTTTGATGACGTTCCCTAGCTTGTGGAGGATTGTCACGGGAAACTGAGGATGGCTTCAGGCGAAGTTATCTTCGATGAAGTTTGCTAAATTTGAGGAGGTTGCCACCTAGATTTGTGAAGATAGCACGAGATAGGCAGTCTTCGACGACGTTTGCTAAGATTGAGGAGGTTGTCACCTAGATTTGAGAAGATAAGATGAGATGGCGGTCTTCGACAACATTCACTAATATTGTGGAGGTTTTCACCTACATTTGAGAAGAACGGTTCGTGATGAGGCGATCTTTGACGACATTCACTATGATAGGGAAAGTTGTCACCATGATTCAAGAAAAAAGCTCAAAATGTAGCCGCATTGATCGACGGCGTTCCCTAGCTTGTGGAGAGTTGTCACAAACAACCGAGGATGACTTCAAGCGGAGTTATATTTGACGCGTTCTCTAGCATGTGGAAGGTTGTCAAAATTAGGAGATGATTTTAAGCGAAGTTATCTTCGACGGCTGTAGGCGTCGTTTGAAGTGCGCCTACGTTAAAGCATGTGATGAATATGCTTGACACTCATAGGAAGTTAAAATTGATATATACGATTAGGGACAAGGAAAGTAGGGAGCCGCCAACAAGTTTTTAAGGAGCTTGTAAACCGTTCACGGATCAATTAAGGCAACCACGAAAAAGGGAGAACAAAGGCAACAACGATTGGCCCATGAAGGTTACACCCCATTCATAATCCGTGAAATTACTAACTCCATATGCTTCGGAACCGCAAAAGGAGGATCGGGGATGATGGTACAAAGTGAGTCATGGAGTCACATTCGCCCGTATTGGCCTCTATTCGATTCTTATAGTGAAAAGTGATTCCTGCAATCTCAAAGGCATGCAAACAAAATATTCAATTCGCTCCAAACTATTATTAAGCTAAATTGGTTTAATATTATTGCAACATATAATTCTAAAATATCATGATCACTTGAATTAATAACAAGATTACAAAGGATCCTAAACCGGTTGTCCAAATTATCTTATTAGCGTGATTTTCAATTATATATTCCCTTTGACATGTAATATTGTGATCAATAAATATAATATAATAAACATTAATATTGGAAGCCATTCAATAATTAATTGTTAGTCAAATCAAATCATAATAAAACCTAATCATGATACTAGCAACAAGAATAAAAATAAGAGTAATTAAGTGATTAATTACTCACTTTCCGCGCTTCCTTGAATTGCTACATCATGAATAAATTGTTAGTAACTTCAATGAAAATATAAATCAAATTGAAACAATTAAATCAAAAGTAGAGTTGATTTGGTCCAAACCCTCAGTTAATTATACCTTTCAAGCCTTGGTTTAAATATAGAACTTTGGGTATTGTATGGACTCCTAGGAGTGCTTAAAGGAAGGAATAGTGAAAGAATAGGGAGGCTAGTGTTTAGTCTAAAGAGGGAGAAGAGTATTATTTTGTGATCAATCTTGTTGATGATTGAAAAAGGAAAATATGACCTCTATTTATAATGAAAAAAGAAGGGTCGAAGAATTAAGACAAGATCCGAATTAAATCGGAGTAAAACCCAACAGACAGTAGTTTTTGCAATTTTTGTTTTTATCATATCTTTTGATCCAAAAATTGGAATAAGATAAATAATATGTCGTTGGAAAGTTGTTGAAGTCTAATTTCTAACCTAATTAGAATCATATTACAATCCTTTGTAGAATAAAAGATATCGACGAAATAGCGGGACAGTGTCAGTTTTTGATAGAGTTTGATATTTCATTTATATCCTTTCCATTATAGCTCGGAATTGATATTATAATGTATCATTGGAAAGATAATTTCAAAGGATATCCAACCATATATGATTTGGATAAAAAATATGATTCATGAAAATAATATCTGAATATATTTGAATGTCTTTAAATTTGAATAGAATTAGGCTAGGACTTTCAAAAAGAAAAGTTTTATTCAATTTCAAACTCTTTAATCTTATCTTTTCAAAAGGACAATTAAGATATTTTAGAAACTTTTAGAAGCTTTCAATTAATCCAATTTGGTTTAGGAACATGATTAAAGCTTTTGGACCCTCCACATGATCATAAGGTCGTAGCTAAGGTGGGCTTAGGTTCGGTTCACTACTACATTTTTGACCTATTGCAACCCCCAAATCTGTTGCATTAAGCGTCAAAATCCGTGGCATTAGGCCTAATTCAACGACCATATACCGTGGCATCTGCAAGCGTTGCCATAGGTCTAATGCAACAACATATGACACCTAATGCAACAACATCAATGATCCGTTGCGTTAGATTAGTATCTGATGCAACGACACCATTATTGTCGTGGCATTAGCTATGATACCTAATGCCACTGTGCATATACTCTATTGCCACGGTTCCCTATATTTAATGCTACACAGTGCATATATCTAATACCAATAATAGTAATAATACAATTAAAATCATATTAAAAAAAATTAGAATTTTATTAAATATAAATTAAAATTTAGTACATTATTATCTAATAGGAAAATTACAAAATTAAAATTAACACTAATTAAACTATGAAAAAAACTTGTCCCCCCAACAATATTTTGAGTAATCCTTTGGACAACATTATCATTTCTTTCTCCTGTTTCTCCAATTTCTCAAGTAAAGCAATTCAAGAACAATTTAGGAAGCATCTTCTTCAACTTCAGTATCCACCTCTAGCACTATTTACACATATCCAATGGATCTAAATTCCCCAATAAAAAAAACACAAACAAATCAATACGAGATTATAGAATAATCGAGCACTAAAAAAACAAGGAACTTGATGTTTGTCCCCCCCCCCCCTAAAATTGAAACAGGAGGCTTGGCCCTACTCTTACTGTCATGTTGATAATAAATATAAACCTGAGATTATGCACACACAAGAGAAGCATATATTATGCGCACAATATTAGTTTCTCAGTCTTATTTCAATAAGTAAAACAGTTAGCAACACAAACAAGACATCAAAAAAAATACAGACAGAAGATGTGCACTTCTAACATATTTGCAACCACAAAACACATTAAATTAAGCTTTGTTTTTTACTTTATAATGTATGTGATATTAGTTCTTAAACAAATTGAAGGCTTTGTTTCACCCAATGAGAATGTGAGCAACTCTAACTTTAATGGATCCATGCCATTAGCCATTCATTTCCTTAGTAAATTGAGTTATGAGAGAGCATTTTCAATATGTAAGAATTTCAGCATCGATGTTAGCTACATGTCTACAAGCACTAAGAATTGTTGAACTACAGAAAATATCTCAATACGATTACGTCCACTGAAGTTTTGTACTAAGGTTACTAAGGTAGAATTTAAGTGGATATTACTTAAAAGCAACCAAATTTCACTAGGTGAAAAAAGTAAAATGGCACCGCCTTAATGCCACCGGTTTTTCAAAACCAGTGGCAAAAATATGAATTAAAGTAGGCGCCTTTTTTAGAAGAGGTTTTTGCCACCGGTTCGGCTCAAACCGGTGGAAAAAACCATTATTCCCACCTATTTGAACCAAACCGGTGGCAAAAAGCTTTTAAACAACAAAAAAAAACCCCTTATATTCCCCTAACCCTACCCTCACCCTCATACTCAGCCTCCATCCTTTCTCTCTCCTAATCTCCTCTCTTCTCTCTCCTCTCCCTAAAAAAATCCCCCCACAACCTAATAATGGCAGCAACGACAGTAGCACCACCAGCAACAATCACCATCACCGGAACCCGAACCCGAACGACACCCAAGACGTCAATTTCAACGGCAGCCACCTCATCAAAACCACCGTCACCTCCGACCCGAACAACACCCAAGATTTTGGGTTTAATTATTCGAATTTTCTGGGTTCTTGCATGTGTTTTTTCGGGTTTGATTTTGGATTTTAATTCGATTTTTCTGGGTTTCAATTTAATTTTTCTGGGTTAATTTTCGGTTAAAATAATCGATTATTTTGGGTTAATGCATGCGTTTTTATTTTGGGGTTTTTTATTTAATTTTTTTTACTTTCGTGATTTCTAGGGTTTTTCTGGGTTTTTTTCCATTTCAATTCAGTTTTAATTGGTTTTTTTTTTTATTTTCTTTATTTTCAATTTTTTGGTTTTTTTTTCTGGGTTTATTTTTTTCGATATCGATTTCTGGGTTTATTTTTTTCTCGATTTTCATTTTTTTTTCTTTTTGGATTTCTGGGTTTATTTTTTCAATTTCGATTTCGGGGTTGATTTTTTTTGTTTTTTGGTTTCATTTTGATTATTATTCAGGATTTCATTTTGATTTTTTTTTTTCCCGATTTCTGGTTTATTTTTTTCAATATTTCAATTCGATTTTAATACATTTGAATTTCTGGTTTTTTTTTTTTTTTTTTTTTTTTTTTTCTGGGTTTGAATTCCTGCTTTTTTTTCTGGGTTTGAATTTTAGGATTGAATTTTTGGTTTTTTTTTTTTTCGAAGCTTATTTATATTAATTGATTTTTTTTTTGTTTTAATTGGTGCAGGTACATTGATTTAGATCTTAAATTGAAGAATCAAGATTCAAGAATATTGATTTAGATGTGTATGGTTTTTTTTATTTATATTGTAATATATTTTTGATTTACGAGTATATTGTAATTTTTTTAATTTATATTGTAAATTGTTTTTTATTTATTTATATGTTGTAATTAATTGTATTTTTTTTTTATTATATATTGTAAAATTTGGATTATATTATTGAAAGTCATCGATTTAATTGTGATGTTCTTATTTATCTTAGTTGGTTTAATTGTTAAGTGAAAAAAGACAAAAAAATAAAATTATTTGGCCTTTTTAGGCACCGGTTAATCGGTGCCAATAACCATTTTTGCCACCGGTTCAAACTGGTGGCTTTTCATGCTAGTAATTGGCACCCCCACATTGTCACCGGTTCAAAACCTGTTGCATTGAGGGGTTTTAAACCGGTGCCAATTACGTTTTTTCACGTAGTGTTTAAGAAACTTTCCATACTTAATAATAAACAATATGGAATAAAAGTGAGACAAGAGACAACAATATGGATAGTCTATCAATCAATATTTTCTATGAGAATTGATAAACCTGAGTTTTAATAACCTTGATTAGCAAACTTGCACACATAATCAGCAACATGAACAATTTAAGTAAATATGGAGCCTGTATTCTGTTTAATCCACTAAATCAAAAATAAATCTAGGTGTGAAAACTATGAGCAACCAGTCTTGTATATATGATGCAACTTGCTACTTTTCTATGGTTTGTTATCATTGCTTTCGTCTATAGGAACATCATCCATTTCAGAAGAACAGATAGACATACCACATAGTCCATCAACTCAAGAAAGGGTAATGATGCTGAGGCAAATTATCAAACTGATGATACAAAATTGAAACCAACAAAAAAAAGTTGGCATAGTTAAATCCAAGCTAGGAACAAAAATTTATTTCAAGTAATATTACAGCAAAGCACTTTTAATAATCTTACACATTACATTTCATACTAACCCTGCAATCAGTGATGATATAAACCAATCTAAGATTCTTCCAGGTAAACCAAGTAAACTAGAAACAACCTAATCCTTCTAGTGAATGACAAATTTGACTAAGCAATGAAAATTTATGATAAGGCATTACCCACTTAAGTCAAGTACCTCTGACTTTGAAAAGATATAAGCAATAGCACAAACAAAAGCATTAGCTAATGATGCTAGAGCTCAAAACTAAAGAGAGCGTTCTTAGTTCCTTGAACGAAAGTAAACATCAACCAATAACTTTAATTGAAAACATCAACCCACCCTCTAAATAACTACAATAAAACAACAAAAACCACATCTAAATTTAAAACTTACTAAATTACTCAAACAGAACATGATGGTGAGATAGTCCCTTAAGTCTAATCCTATGATACAATCTTCACAAAAGACACTTCAAATATAGTAATGGTGTGATCTGAAAAGATTATTAAATTAAAAAAAAAAAAAAAAACCATGCATCATGGCTAGCTAATTACAATAGTTGTATTATATTTGTGCACATATGTTATTATAGCCAGATAATGTCACATCAATAACACAAAAACAAACCATGTATGAAGTTAAATGTTAAATCCAATCAAAGAAAATAAATCAAAGCCCACTACTAGATTATATGGAGCATAATACTAGATTTAGGAACAAACTAACATATACCAGATTCAAAACTAATAATGTTTCGGGTAAATTTTTGGATACTCTTCATTAACTATTCTTATCAAGTTTAAGGTTTCAACTGAGCAGCCTAGCTTAAGGATTGAATTGAATTTACAAATAGAATTACTCGACCAACGGCTATAGATTGGAATAAATAAGAACTCATACTATCATACTCACAGAAATGTTTGGTTAAAAGGGAAAAATCTGCCAAGGTTTATGAAAGCAGAAATAAGGGAAAATAAAATTAAAAGCCACATTTATAATAAAAGACTTTATATTATTACTATTCCTTTCACTTAATTTAAATAACCAGATTATTCTAAGCCATGTGACATCCTTCTTATTGAATATACAGAATTAGCTGAACTAGTATCCATGAATCCATGATAATTACAATTTTCAAAACCAAAAAAAAAAATTATATTGCATCTAACAATAAGATAACTAAACCACATTCATCCGATTTCTTGATTAATCAGTAGAACCACCCCCTAACAAAACCCCTCAATTCGGGTTTAGTTTTTCCACCAACAATTCCCATATTGCATAAAAAATTAATTAAAAAAGCCCAGAAAAATTAAACCTTGAATTTAAAATTGTAAACAAACTCGAGCACAATGAGACGAGCATAGGTAGTTCTAGCATGAGAGACTTGTGAGTTGCAGCATGTTCATTAGTGAATTGGAGCTTATTATCACAACCTCCGACTTCACGCCTTGTAGTGGTGGGTGTAACTCACAATTCGAGAACATTAAAAACAAATTAAGAACAAACTAACGGAGAAAATTTGAGACCTAAGAGTATGTAAAAACAAAAATTTCTAAAATAAAAAAAAAGAAAAAGTTATATTCGGAAATCACCATTAGCTTGTCGAGTGAAGGTAAATAACCAACGCCATTGCAGAAGAATCTCAATGATGAAGAGTTGTGGACTTGCGGCGGATTGAGTTGAAGGAAATATAAAAGTAGTGAAGGGTTTTCAATTTCAGGGGAAGTAAGAAGGATTTATGCACCTATGTCATATTTTAATAATATCCTAATGGCCGTGGCATTAGACCGCTCTATTGCAACGATAAACTCACAACCGTTGTGTTAGGCTCTTTTATTGAGCAACTGATGTATTATACCATGCTAATGCCACGGTAATCAATGCAGCCGTTGCATTAGGCTTATTTTAGACGCTGCATTTGATAAAAAATGTAGTAGTGGTTTGGACTCAGTTTAATATTTTAGTCATAACTTATTCGTTATAACTCGAATTTGGGTTTATAATATAATTCCTCTATTCTTTTTTACTTGACCTGTTTCTTTTATCACGTTTGTCAATACAAAACTTTAACGATCAATAATTTCAATTCTCCATAAGTAAAAATCATAAATGTTATATATTATGATAGTATTTATTGAAACGAATTCCAAAAGATCTTTCATGAATATGTTTTTCCTTACATATTATTCACAAAAGACGGTCAAAGGAGTAGTAGTGAATAGTATAAAAGTCAAAGCGGGTCAAGTAAAAAAGAACGGAGGAAGTATAATTTGAAAGCTCTTTTCAAGCCCAATCTAACTATTCAATAATTGGACCCAGATTATGGACCAAAATAAACTAGACTAAACGATTTTATAAAAAAGGACACGAAATGAATGATTTTAAAGGACACAAAATGAATTATTTTGGGTTTAATGGCACGAAAAGACGAAAATAAGTTATGGTTTGGGAAAATGGGATAGGAATTAGGTTGGTTTATTAAATGAAAATATGGATTTAAGTACTCCAAAGATTAAATACTCAGCCGACCAATAATGGCAGTGAAAGGTTGTTCATCACCGGGTTTGGTTTTGGGGAGACATTTTTAAGTGTCTACAGAAGCCCCCACTTTGACTGAGTTTGTAGAAAAGTCAGTTTCGAAAACGATAGTCAAAGTAGTCGATAGGGACGGAGAATGATTTAAGATGTTCTGTGATCCTAAATCACTCTGTATACGCCGATACCTGCAGAAAAATGTTAGCTCCATAGATTAAAGAGTAAAGAGATAGAATGCGTATCTGAAACCAGTGCATTGGTGAAAAATATGTTTGGTTGACCGAATGACGTTTGTTGAAATGCTTTTCCATGCCTGAGGAAAGCCGACTGACGAGTTTGGTAGCTTTCTATGCTTGAAGAAATTTACTGGATGATACTTTCCATGCTTGAGGAAAGTCGACATATGAATGGCGGTTTTCTATGTTTGAAGAAATCCACCGGATAATACTTTTTATGCCTGTGGAAAGTCGACAGATGATTTTGGCAGCTTTCTATGCTTGAAGAAATCCACCGGTTGAGACACTTTCCATGCTTGAGGAAAGACTTATCTGATGATGAGATTGCAAGTCTTTGTGTGTCTAGAACCTTGCGCCGTTAATCATCTTCTCTTGGGAGATGATCACTAAAATGATGATGGTTTTCTTGTCCCTAAACGTGGGTCGTAGATGGTTCGCTTGTCCCCAAACGTGGGCAGTAGATGGTTTGCTTGTCCCCGAACGTGGGCTGTAAATGGTTTGCTTGTCCCCGAACGTGGGTTGTAGATGATTCACTTGTCCTCGAATGTGGGCTGTAAAAGGTATGCTTGTCCACGAACGTGGGCTGTAGATGGTCCGCTTATCCCCGGAAGTGGGCTCTAATTGAGACCTACAAAATAAAATTTGCCAAGGGACTCGTATAGACTATGATTAACTTGACCAACTGACTTGACATGATATGACATGTGTATAACTTGTGGTTTTGTGTGTATATGGTGTGTGTGTGTGAAAACACAAGCTAAGCAACAGAAAATGCAAAAGCAAAAATTTTCCTTCATTTTTGTCATGAGTGGAGGGTACCGACTTTCTCTCGAAAAAGAAAGACGTGAAAAAAGTTTTATTTTCGAACTTCCCTCAGTGATAAAATTTTGAAAAAGTTTATAAACTTCCCCAATAGAAAAGACATGAAAAAGGGAAGAAGTTTTGAACTTCCTCGTTGATCAATATGAAATGAATCGCGGAGATTGAATTGCTTTTCTTGAAAACAATGTATGCATGATGCATGTTCTTAGGCCAGGAGGCTAAGGACAATTACACCATGTGACACGATAATGAATGAACTTAGGTCATGGATTTAAGCATCATATATGGTGTAAAAAAACGATCTTGAACGTCACTTAGGTATGGAAGTTAAGCACGTATATAGATGAAGTGATAATTACATAATGAACGTTGCTTAGGTCAAAGAGCTAAGCACGATATGTGTGCTTTGTATGATAACAAATCATTGATGTATAAATGTTGCTCAACACATTATGTGATGCGTGAAACAATAAATATTGCTCAGGTTAGGAAGCTAAGCAAGTATTTAATGTTTCTTCTAATGAATGTTGTCTTGAAAGTTGATGAAGCATGTGTTGTGTTAAAATAAGATTTCATGAAAAAGGGTTCTTAAAGGGAAGGATGATATGGATAAGGATGTGTGAGTGAAGTGTGTGAATGTGATACTAATGCTGACTGCAAAGGTTATGGTGATGGAAATATAAGTGAGAA